AGACCTGAATGCCACCTCCTGCTTTCCCCATGCTCAGTTTTATGATTCATGTCAGAAAAGCACGTCTTTTATTCAAAACAAAATGACCTTCTAAATTCTCTTGAAATGCTACACTGTTTTAAGTCAAAGCATCACAGAGGAAAGTAGATTAAAAATGCTATAATCTCAAGAGGCTGTATTTTCACTCCAACATTATTTCTAAATGCTTGTGAATATTTACATTAATCATAAACCTATCTTTTGCTCACATGTTCCTTGAACTAGATGAGTGCTGTTGCTGCTGAGGGTCTTCCCCACTGATAAACTGTCAGGCAGATACTTTGTCCCAAAATGATGGAATTTCACCTAGCTTAATCATTCTTAAATTGGGGTAAGTTAAAACACTCCATCTGCAATACAGCAGATTAACAATCATTTGTAGTATCTCAGCTTCCTTCTGAGCTGCTAACTTTAAGGATGCTAAAAAGCAGATGTTCTTATCATGTCCTTGTGTGATTTGAAGGGGTAGATGCACCAGGGCCCTGACACATGTAGCTGTACAGATAAAATACACGTACAATATTAAGTCAGAACAGGATTCACTTCTAACACGTGCCATAGTCTCTAAAGTCAAAGCTAACATTTCCCAAACAGTCTATCAGCTTAGTTTAAAGGATGGAAAATCTAAAGGTTAAAGTTTGATTAGAACATATTTTGTCGATTTTTTTCTTAACACATCAGAGCCGCCAAATTCCTTCGTGGTGTGAACCTACTGGTCTGATGGGAAAGTAACTCCAGTTCCACTTGTGGTAATGCCTGCAGGATCAGGCCCTCCAAATTAAAAAAATAAAATAAAATGTAGCCCCATGTAGAGTACAGGAAATTAAATAGCAAGCCTCTGTTTTCTAGTGGGACAGCCCAATTCCGGGAGTTGTTAGTACTCTTACCCCGGGTAGTGAATTAGCAGCAGCCAGTCTAATTTCTAGGGGACAAGCACTTTCCCCTCCCGATGCAAACGGGTGCAGGGTGGCTGGTCTGCTGGGCAGCGCTCTCCGTTGGGAGCCCCAGGTCAGCAGGGCAGAGCCCCAGCTCTCCACCGCTTTGTGGGTGGCTCGGGAGAGGACTGCGGGGGAAGCAGAGGGAGGAACAGCTACGGCTGAAGGTTAAAATCGGAGCTTTGCAAGCGGAAATAAAGAAAAGGTGTGTGACATTTCCACCGACTTTGCTTTACTCAGTTGTCTGCTTGCTTTCCACAAGGTGCATTTCAGTGACTGAGTTTTACTGACAGTGATCCATAGGGGAGCTGAGTCCTCAGCCCTATTCATGATTACTCAAGAAACCAACCTGCAGAAGCAGCTTATGTTTGGGCAAACATGAGTACGTATCTCATTTGCACATATATGTCAACTCCAGTTATTTACACAATGTACAGGTAGCAGACATTTTTAGTCATATTCTGATATCTCCATGATTCTGTAATCCAGAGTCATCCAAAAGACCCATAGTTAGATTTAAATTTCTGAATGCCTTCTGGCCTTAGAGACTTTAGTCTGCAAATGTACATATTGTTGCACTGAAATGACTACCTTAAATTAAAAATACAAGTTTATAATTTCCATGCTATACACTGAATAGTTTAACAATGTAAAAAACAATAATTTGCATGGGCAAATGGACACACAGAGATACATATCAACTAATGTTCTTGCTTTAAAAATCAAATGAGAAGTCTGAATAAAGAGTTTGATTACTGGAGTGTGCAGTAAATGCACATAACCCTCCTTTGCTTTAGGTAGGGGCTAGGAAATCCTGCTAAAGAGTTGTAAGCAGGTAGGGTAAGGCTTTACCACCTCTCCTGCCGCAGCCTCCACGACAAGTAACCTCCAGCGTTAGTTGTTACACTGCACTGTCAAGCGATGTGCTTGCTTACCTAGTCAGATACTAAAAATTATAGCACAGTAAGCATTTTGCAAAGAATGGGAAACGTATCTCCTAATCCAGATAAATTAAAAGCATCAGCTTAACCTCAAATGTTTATTGCATTTCAAACAGCATTTATCAAAACAAAGAGCTCATTACAACATATATAGGTACTGGACCATCCAAACCCCCTCATTTGGCATGTCTCCAGCATAACAATCTAACACAAATTATTCTGAAACACGACATATCTACATGTAAAAAAAAAAAAAAAAAAAAAAAAGAAAT